TTGTTTTCTTGTTTAGTCTTCAGTTTGCCGTGGAGTTGTCCGGTCTGTTAGGGCACACGCCTCCTCCCGCTTGGCAGGACGTTGCTGATAAGATCAAAATCCCCTTTGACCCGGAACTGAAGTATCACCCAGAGTTTGACGGCTACACGCAGGGTGAGACGCCCTCATCAGCTTCATGCTCATGCTGCAGTAACCCTCTGGTGCTCCTCATTTGGGAGTCACACTTGTGAGCTTCACGGTCAAAAGAACGGACACCTAAAATTGAATAGTAACAGTAAAATCAATGTAACATATTTTTGTTCTATAATATTTTTTATTTTGTATTTTGAGATAATTTCAGGGTACTAATGAATATTTATGCAGTAAATATGATCAATTTCTTCCCACTGAAAATATATTTTTTATATTACTTTTCAATTAATGCAGTATTTCATGTTAAAATAGTCAATGCCTTTAAAATTCAATTTAATAAAAGGCCTATAAATACTTATTTTTATTAAGTTGTGGGTTTAGATATATATTTAGACATTCTCAAAGACAACTTTTTGTAAAGTTTTAGATTTTTATTTATTTATTTTTTTGAAATGTTGATTTGAAGCGTCAGTTTTTGAATGATTATTACAACAGTCAAACCTGAACACAGAGAAAGCATTTTGAAAGCATAAGGAACTGTCTGAATGGTATTTTGATGTCATACACCGATCGGTCTGCACACGCAAACAAAGCCAAAACCTAGATATTTTAGGCAATATAGAAATCCTGGCCAGGACGCATCCTGGGAAAATGGCACGTATGGTCACCCTAGTTATAGCCATACCAATTCATTTGAGTATAATTGTGTATGTGTGTGTGAGTGGATATGTCTGTTTTGCACTCTTTGATGTTTTAAAGTGTAACCCCTTCCTTGCTGTCCACTTTTTTACTGCATTGTAGTTTAATTATTGCTTTTCTTGTACATATTTGCTGTGTTACAGTCACACCAGTTCATAGGTGTGTGTGTGTGTGTTTACGCGTGATTGTGTGTGAGTGGATGTGTTGGTTTTGCACTCTTGATGTTTTAGAATGTGTACTTTTTCTGTATTGTGGCAGATTTGTAGATTGTACACACAAAAATTCTCTGAATTGTTGTGTTTTTGTCGATTTGCCATTCATTTCCTATGGTCGGTCATTTTTGACCAAAGACCACAAGTGTGACTATTTTTTTACAACCATTTAGCCTGCTCGAATCATGCCCTCAATTTTTTTGTGTGTTCACATTCCAATTGCCATAAAAGTCACCCAAGTTTTGTACCTTTTCCGATGAAGCTGTGATTAAAAAAAAATTAAAAACAGAAAATGTTTCAGTCAAAAGTGACCGAAGAGCACCAGAGGGGTAATCATTATATATTCCGTGATATTCACCTTTCTAAACAAAGTCAGTGGATGTTTTGAGTTAAATGCCTGAAAATAAGGTCTGTGGTAAACGCAAACTAAAGATATTTTCACCTTTTATTCTACTACATAAGATACATCAGTAATATGCCACTAATTTTTTTAGGCTTTTACATGTCTGGAAAAAGGCAGTTGCTAAACTAAAGCAACTAAATGAGACTACAGAGGTTGCCAGGGACAAAAAAAACCAAAATGAATTGGGAAACAAAATTAATTATTTTATATCCTATATTTTTACTTCTGGCGATTGTATTTAAGCTTCAAAATTCAAAATTCGTTTGTAGTGTTGCATTATATATTCCACAGGAAGTGGAGTCAAGCAGGCAGACGTAGTGTTGCTCGGATATCCGCTGGCCATGTCCATGACCCCAGAGGTCAGACGTAACGATCTGGAAGCATATGAGGCCGTCACTGATCCGCTCGGACCGGCCATGACATGGGTAAGTCACACACTATGCCTCAACCATCATGCGGGTTGGGTTTTTTGGATTTTTCACACTATATTTTCTTGTAAAATGTTTGAATAAGTCTATATGCATGTCTGTATGTAGGGCATGTTTGCTTTGGGTTGGCTTGAACTTGGAGATGCTGAAAGAGCCCAAAAGCTTCTGCAGAAATGCTTCAGAAATATCCAGAAACCATTTCAGGTACATTTTTGCAGTATACAATATGTTTGCTGTGTAAAAAAGTAGTGTAGAAACAATTTTGCTACTAGTAAATTTAACCAATAATTACAAAGAAACTGCAAGGAACACATTATAAATAAACATTAAAATTTTGAAGTAGAAAACAAATTTAAATAGTATTTTCTTGTAAAACATATTACAATAATTTTTGTTTTATTTACTGTTTTTTTTTTTTTATTAATGCAAAATAAATAATACAAGCAGAGCACACTGTACGGAATACCGTATCCCACAATGCAATGCAGAACTTGACCTTCTATTTTCAGTGTGGTAAATAAACTCGAAACTATATAAAATAATTTTTACATTTAAAAAAAATTCTAAAAATGACATTAAATTTAAATGTAAAAAAAAAACATTGGAAGCTTGTTTCGGCCACAGGATAAAAAACGTATCTCATAATTCACCCTTTTTGTTCTTGCAATTTATATGTTATATCTCACAAGCTCTGTCATTTTTCCTCGTCATTTTAAATTGTGAGATATAAACTTGCAATTGCTAGAAAAAGGTCAGAATTGTGAGATAAAAAGTTACAATTACTGAATTGTGAGAATTGCGAGAACACCGTTGCGATATGTAAACTCAGAATCATGAGTTTATATCTCACAATTTTGACTTTTATTCTTAGTATTGCAAGTTTATATCTTGCAATTCTGTGTTTATTTCTCGAAATAGTGTCTGAATTGTGAAATAAAAGGTCGCAATTACATTTTTATTGTTTTATAGTAATTTTATTGTCTAGAAAAAGGCTTCCATATTCAACAACTAGAAAATATATAAATTCCGCACACTACTTGATTAAATTTACATTTAATCGAAACTGAAAGCTGCATAATAACTACCGTATATGGAACATAATTAATATGCAACATAATTAAGTTGTGACAACAATAAAACATACATATTGCGCATATGTTACCCTGGACCACAAAACCGGTCATAAATTGAGATTTATACATATCATCAGAGTGCAAAAAATCGAAACATTGAGAAAATCACCTTTAAAGTTGTCCAAATGAAGTTCTTAGCAATGCATATTGCTAATCAAAAAGTAATATGCATTGCAAAAAGTTTTGATGTATTTACAGTAGGAAATTTACAAAATATCTTTATGGAACACGGTCTTTATTTAATATCCTAATGATTTTTGCATAAAATAATAATTGATAATTTTGACCCATACAATGTATTTTTTGCTATTGCTACAAATAGACTGCTGCTTATGACTGATTTTGTGCTCTAGGGTCACGTATATCAATATTTAAAGCAGGATACCGTACACATTACACAATATATGAATACCCTAGTATTTAATGTCAAATATCGCTATTATCTGTATTTTCCTGTTCTGTGTGTAGGTGTGGAGTGAGTCGGCTGATGGCTCTGGATGTGTGAACTTCCTCACCGGTATGGGCGGCTTTCTGCAGGCAGTGCTGTTTGGCTACACTGGCTTCAGGTGACAAAATCACTGCCGTCTTGAAGAGTCAGTCGCTTGATCGCATCCAGACGTCATTGTGTGTCTCGTTCCTGTCCTGCGTTGTTCAGGGTGCAGAAGGAGCATCTCGCCTTCGCTCCGTTGCTACCACAGGAAGTTGATGCGCTCCGTGTGAAAGGTGTGAGTTACCTTGGCAACGAGATGGACTGGTTGATAAAGAGTGTGGAAGTGAGCGTTTCAGTGAGGAAGCCTGCCGAGGAGGAGTCTGGGAGTCAGGAGCCTTCCGCTCTTCAAGTTGTCTTGGAGACTGGAACTACAATCCCACTTATTCCAGGTAATAAATTACGAACAGTAGTAATCCAACAATGACTGATATTAATTAGTGGTGTTTGCTGTGGCAGTTTTATTTCTCTAGAATAAATGAATTGTTGTCCACAGGACAGTCAGTGACATTTCCGCGGCAGCCTGGTCAGATCCGTAAAGTGAATTCTGGTTCTTACTGCTGGCCTGTCTGATGATCCACGTTTCTACTTCATACCTTTTATATTTCAGTATACTACATTTGACTGTAATAATGTACTCTAATAATGCATTATTATTATTACATGAACATGAATCACAGTATACTCTGGAAAAACTATTTACAATAAAAGATTAAAAAAAAAAGGAATTGTATTATTATTATTATTATTTTTTTTTTTTTTTTGAAAATTGACACAAATCAATGTGTTTGCTTTTATGCCAAAAAAAAAAGAAAATCCACAATAATATTTTTATTAATTGTTCATTTTTAAGTAATTAAAAATATATATATTAATATCGATAAGCTTATTGTAACATTATATTTGAAAATGTGAACATCAAGACAATACATTTTACTATATTTTTGTAGTTCTCTTCTGACTGCATTTTTAAATGTATTTTTATTTTCGCTTTTTCACCATTTTTATCCTTTTGGAGTTTTTTTTAGATAGAAGAAGCTTTCTTCTGGCAAAACCTTCCAAACATGTCATACATGTCCCATACACGAATTTGATCATTTAACATGTCTTCCACTTGTGAATAATCTACCTCACTGTAGAATGATGGACTTCAAATGGTTTGGAAATGGCCAATATATATATATTAATATATAAAATATGTAAGCTAAATTTTAAATTAGAGGGTTTATATATATATATATATATAGTGCAAATAATTGACAGAGTTTTAAGGTGTTGATTTCAGCTGCTTTAAGGATTTAAATAAAAATTTCAAATAATTGTTAAATGCTATAAACCTTGCAACAACTTTAAGAAATCTACATTCGCGTACAAATCACGCCTGATGTCGAGCGTAGTTTCGTGCTACGTCGTGTTCTTTCGGTAATTTCCGTTTTGATTCGGTAATTTCCGCTTGCTCTCCTTCCTGTGTTGACCTCCCGTCCCCAGTAAAAGGAGGCCATTATCCTGCAACCATTTTCTTTGCTTTCATAACCGATGCAAAAAAAAAAAAAACGTTTTAATAAATTCATTATTTATTCGTGCAAGTTGACTAAGCGCTCGCTGGACACCTGCAGCTTTACAAATCGCGAGGGACGCGCGGCTCGCCTCGTCAATCCTTCGGAAAATTTCGGCTGCTTTCGGGCGCCGCTGTTGTGAAATGGACGCGACTGAACCGGCGGCGAAAGCGCTGCAGCTGGGCGACGCGTCTGCGGGAGAGGCGGCGGGTTCGGAGACCGAATCGGAGGCCGAAGTCGCCACGATGACTGTGATGGGAGAAGCGGCAAACATCGACATTACCGAATCCCTACCGAACCCCGACGACGGCGAAACCGCGTTTGCGGGTCAGTGTGCGCATGCGCATCAGCTGATTTTGTGTTTATAACGAATCATTGATTATTGATAACAATAAAAATCTATTTCAGTGTACATCATACTGTCTTTTGACCCACTTAATTATCTTTTTAGACTGATTAGTATAAGGCTTGTTTAACCAGCGTTAATATTAGTATACTCTTTTGTTTGTTTGGGAGAAACGCAAACTATTCTCCTCACATCAGACTCTTTAAGTAAACATTTTATTCGCATTACATTGATCAAAAGTGACGTTTATAATGTTACAAAAATGTTTACAACATTGAAAATTGTTTTTATAATGAGTGGCAATAAAAAAGAGAATTGAGCTGCAAATAAGTATATTAGAATGATTTCTAAAGGATCATATATAGAGAGATGTATACAGCTTTCCATTGATGTATGGTTTGTTAGGATAGGAGGACAATATTTGGCTTGAGATACAACTATTTGAAAATCTGGAATCTGAGGGTGCAAAAAAAAAAAAAATCGAAATATGGAGAAAATCGTGTTTAAAGTTGTCCAAATGAAGTTCTTATCAATGCATATTACTAAATAAAAAATTAAGTTTTGATATATTTACGGTAGGATACCACATTTGTGACGTATGTATGTGGTTCAGTATGTCATGTGCACAAACACTAAGAACATTGTCTTCTTCCCAAAGTCATAAAGTCTGTGTTTTTTTGCAGAGGTGACAGCCGTCACTGTTGGGGACGTCCAGAGTTCAGATGACACTGTCTTCACCTCCACAGTGACCACAGCAGCGTCCATCCCCGAACACGTGCTCGTAAGATAAAACACTTCAGCCTCTGAACCCATGGATGATTTCATGTTGAACAGTCTTGAAATTGACGTGATGCACAATACATTCTTTTGTAAAATACAAGGAATGGAAAGGAAAGAAGGAAAGAAAACAAATTAATTCACACTCTTACAAAACAAAATACTGGCAGTACCATGTTACAGTGATGGCGTCAGATGAAAATACCGTGATAGAAACCAGAACTGTGGTACTGTATGATTACTATATTTTCATATACCATGATAAAACCATCTTGCATGTCCAAAAAAGTTTTATTTGGATGACTTTTTTTTATGTATATATAATCAATGTAGAAAAATATATACAAATTTGAAAGTATTTAATAATTTTAAATAACTTTATTGTAATGTTTTATTCATTTGAAAAATCACACATAAAAACGATGCATTTTATATTTTTGTAGTTCTCGTCTGGCTTATTTATTTATTTGTTTAATTGCTTGCTTTTCACCATTGGAAGGTTTTTGCATTAAATAAACCAAAACCGTGGCATTGTATTGTAACTATATTTATATATCATGATAAAAAAACATTTTACATGTCCAAAACAGGGTTATTTTAGTATCATTTAGATACTATTATAGTTTTTATGAGTAGGTTAAAGTATTTATTTTATTTTTTTATAATTTCATTTTATTAAGTTAAAGTATTTTTGTGTGTTTGCCATTTTTATTAGTTTTCTTTTTTGAATATAATTTTATTATATATATATATAATATTATTTTATATATTATATTGTTTTTTGTAGTATAAATATTATAATTTGATTAATATTATTACTTATGCAATATATCATTTTTAAAATAGGTTTTATTCATTTTATTTCAGTAATCATTTTAGTACATCAGGTTAAACTAAATGAAAACGAGAAAGGATTTTTGGCAACTAGCTGAAATGAAATACAAATTTCTTATATTTTATTTCATGTCAAGTAGAGTTTCTTTTATTTCAAGTAACTAAAATTGTTTTATGGTTTTAGTTTTAGTCCATAATAATCATGATACTACCATAGTACATTTATTTATGGTTAGTGTGAAGTAAATGTAAGGACAGCTATGCTTTGAATCAAAATAACAATATCATATTTAATATTTCTTAACTGATTGATGTAGACTGGCAGAACCACGCTTCAGATCGGAGACAGTCTGAGTACCCAGAAGGCCACACTGATCGTGGTGCACACGGATGGGAGCATCGTAGACGCCACAGCACTGAAGGGCACCGCGACACCTGGTAAATCTGATTTATTTTGTCTTAAATGAACTGCAGTATTCTATACGTGTCTGTTCTTCCCTCTCAGGCCCTCAAACCCCGGGCACCCCTCTGACGTCTGGACGCGATAAGGATGTCTCTAAGTACAACTGGGATCCGTCGGTTTATGAGAACGAGCTTCCGGTCCGCTGCAGGAACACCAGCGGGATTCTGTACAAAAACAGACTGGGCTCAGGTACACAGCCGTCACAAGAGGGCGGCACCCGACCGACTGATGAAACTAATTCAGCTGTGTTTGAAAACCTCTTAGGAAGTGTGCAGGAGATCAAACACATGATCATCTGTGGGTTAAGAAGCTATCAGGACAGTACTTACAGTAACAAAGGCTGCATCCTAATTTGTATGCTTATATTACACAGTAGTATGTTCTTTGCACGATTTGGGGGGAAAATGTATGTATATATATATATATATATATTTATTTATTATAAGTATTATTATTACGGTTATTGTTTCTAAATAAATATAAAAATTACCAAATAAAAAATAAGATGTATTGCTATTGTAATATTTCACTTTAAAATAATTTAAAAAAAAATGTATTTAATAAAATAATTATAATTTAAATTTAAAGTACAACTAAAATTACAATACTACTGTATGGCTGTCTGAATTTTTGAACATTTAAATGTATTATTAATTTATAAATTATTGTTATTTATTTAGCAGTGAAATATCACAATAGTAAAAAAAAAGCTGCAGGGAAAGTTCTCACAGCAGGTTTTAAATGAATCAAACACCTCAAATAATGCATTTTAAGGTCATTAATTCAATAGATGAGAATGATTTCATTAAAGTACGAAATAATACACAAAAATAAGGTAACACTTTATAATAAGATTCCATTTGTTAACATTAGTTAACTACATTAGTTACACTAGCTACATTAGTAAACCATTTTATTAATCTCAGGTATTGTTAATTTCAACCTTGACTAAAACATTATTGTATTATAATGTATTTAAAAAGTTGTATCTGTCGAAATTATTGAATTGACCTGAGCTGATCTAACAATTAACAGTTGTGTTTTAGTAACTGACATAACTCTTTTGAAATCCACGGAAAAATAGTATACTATTTGGGCTGCTTTGGCATACTGTTTTCTATGTAGCATGATTTAAGACACACTCGTGACTATTTAGGATGCATAATATAGGAATTGGGGCACAGCCAGTGACTGATATTTAACCTTTGACCTCAGGGGGCAAAGGGCGCTGTATCAAACACAACAATAACTGGTACACCCCGACTGAGTTTGAGGGTATGTCAGGGAGAGCGAGCAGCAAAGACTGGAAGAGAAGCATCCGCTATGCTGGCCGACCTCTGCAGTGTCTCATTCAGGTCAGACCGGCCTTCGGAGGCCACACACACACACATACACACAATCGCAACAGAATATGCACAGATATACACAGCTCACAGTAGGAACCCTTCCCAAAAAAAAAAATCCCCAGAGACTCATTTAGCAGAACAACCCAGACCTGTTGCCGTGTGTGTGTGTGTGTGTGAGTGTGTGTGTGAGTGTGTGTGTGAGTGTGTGTGTGAGTGTGTGTGTGAGTGTGAGTGTGAGTGTGAGTGTGAGTGTGAGTGTGAGTGTGAG